GCCCTCGTCCTCCTGGCCCTGCGGCCGCCCTGCGGCCCCCCCTTCGTGCCGCTGGACAGCTAGCTCGCCCTCTCCCGGCTAACTCGAGCGCGCGTGCGAATCGCCTCTGCCGCGCTGCGACGGAAGAAGTGTGTCCCAGGGCCTCTTCGAGGACCCCCCCTGGGGGCGCGAGTGCGAGGACGAGGACAGGGGCGAGTACGAGGATAAATCCGTTCCAGAGCGTCCCGGAACGCGCGGAGAGCGTTCCGGGACGCTCTGAGAAGGCCGCGGTGCCCGCTACATCCTCGGGAGCCGCCAGATCTCAGAGTTTCTCGATTGATCCTCACCCGACTTTATCCTCGTCCTGGAGCCAGTTTTTTTATTGCTTGGGGCATGACGGGCGTCATGGCCCCCGCCCCCCCCCCCCCCCCCCCCCTATGACGTAACGTTCCCCCCCCCGTGCGCTCCGGGCACTGTCGCCGTGCGCATTGGGATCCGCGTAGGTGTCCGCGTAGGAATCCGCATAGGCGTCTGGTCCGCAGGCGTCGTCGTCGTCGTCGTCGTCGTGCGCCCGGACGCGCTGGAGCCTGTTTTTAAGTCCGGGCCGATGACGGCAATCATCTTGGGGGGGAGGGGGTCGATGACGTCACGTTTCGCGCCGGCGGCGTCTGGGAATGCTTAGGAATGACGGAGGACGGGTAGCACGAACATGTAGGTGGCGATATGCACCACAACGCCTGTGTACATCACAGTGCCCGCGTGCACCGCAGCGCCTGTGTACACCACACCGCCGATGTACACCACAGCAGCCGCGTGCAACACAGCGTCAGTTTGTGCCACCGTGCCTGCGGGCACAGCAGCTCCTGCGTACACCACAGCGCCTCCGTACCCCACATCAGCCGTGCGCAACACAGCACCAGTGTACACCACAATGCCTGCGTGCATTGCAGTGCCTGTGTACGCCACGGCGCCTGTGTGCACCACATCAGCCGTGTGCAACACAGCACCATTGTTGTGTATAGAATTTCAGAAGGGATCCTTGTGACAAAATGGAGCGCGTGTGGATTCCAGAGAAAACAATGGAAAACAAATCCTCATGGACAAAGGAGCGCCGCTGGAATCTACGAGTCCCCCCGAGTCCGCCCGCATCACCCTAACTCCCATTTGCGTCCAGGAGGCTCCAGCTAAACTGGCCGTCCGAGAACCAAGTGGACCGATTCAATCGACCATTCTGCGGTGCACGCTGAGATGCGCACGTGCGTTGTAACGCCAAGCCGCACGACAGGGGGTAAGAAGGAGGAAAAGGAGGAAAAGGAGGAGGAGGAGGAGGCGGAGGAGGAGGAGGAGGTGGAGGAGGAGGGAGGAGGGAAAAACGTCGCATTCGATTATCAGAACTTTCCTGGCGTGGCGTTTAGTTGTCCGCAGCAGATCCTGACGTACATGCTCCTTCTACCTGTCCTATGCACGCAGGCGCTGTGGTGTACACCAGCGCTGCGTTGCACGCGGATGCTGTGGTGTAGACAGGCGCTGTGGCGTGCACAGGCGCTGCGGTGCACGCAAGCACTGTGGTGTACACAGGCGTTGTGTTGCACATGGCTGCTGCGGTGTATGTACACCAGCGCTGCAGTGCTCCCAAGTATTGTGGTATACACGGGCGGTGCGTTGCACACGGCTGTTGCGGTATACGCAGGCGCTGTGGTGCACACGCGCGGTGTGGTGCACGCGAGCGTTGTGGTATACACAGGCGCAATGGGCAGATCGCCAGTTACATGCTGCTCGCGTCGTCGTCGTCGCTTGTCGCTCGTCGCTCGTCGCGTCGCGCGCGCGGGCGCAGCTGTGGTGCCGGAGCCACTCGGCGGGGGGGGCGTCACGTCGTACCCCCCCCGCCCCCCCCCCTCCCCATGACGCCCGTCATCGCCGAACATCAAGAAACGCGCTCTTGTCTGCGTCTTGGGAGATTCAAATCGCCCCTCCAGCGCGCCAGGGCCCAGGCCAGAGGGCCGCCCGCCACCGAAGGAGGTCCCAGGCGAGGGTGCGGAGGGGCCCGTGCGTCACGCATCCCGGGAGGGCGCGGCATGCGACTTCAGCTGATCGAGGCCTCCCAAATGTCGGCGGCGAGCTCAGGGGGGAAGTGAGAAGGAAAAGGCCTTGTCAGAAGGTGGCGGGGCTTCTTCTGGAGCCCTTGGGCTTTTGGAGAGGTTTTCGGCGTCTTCGGGGAAGGCTCAGGAAACCTCTCAGAAGCCCGGGGGGCTTCCGAGCCTTCTGAGAAGACCGTCTCCTTTTCACTTCCCCCTTTTGCTGGCCGCCGACAAATGGGCCTCCCCAGTGGGGTCCGATGCGGCTCGATGCACCGCCGATGCGGCTCGATGTGGAGCCCGACTTGCTTCACGCCGACGGCGCCGATGCATCGCCGATGTATCGGCGACACATTGCGATCCTCCGACCCAATCTACTCGGACCCCATTTAGGAGGCCACAAGTTGCACAGGCCTCTGTTCGAAAGCGTTGGCGCCTCGATTCTGGGCGGTTTTGTAACACTCGTTCTCTGCCCGTCCCTCCCTCCCGTTCTCTCTAATTGTGTGTTTCCGTTGTTTAATGTTGTTTGTTTGTTTCGTTTTACTGTTATTACTCTCCCTGCCTCCCTGTGCAATCATAACTAAAGATGGATCCCGCACATCACTCGATCTCTCTCCCTCTCAATATATCTCTTTCTGTGTCTCTGTCTTAGTTTTTGGATACATATGAATAAGATGTTAGCCAGCGTGGAACTGAAACAGTGTGTGTTCTAGCAATCTATGTTGTGCAGCAATGTATGTTGTGCAATCTATGTGGCGCAATGTATGCGGTGCAATCTATGTGGTGCAGTCTCTGTGATACGATAACTGTTGTGCGACATAGACTGTGCAAAGTATGTAGTGCGCAACGTATAATCTATATATATATGTATGTATGTAATCATATATGTTTACATGAGTATACATATGTGTATTTCTATGTATATGTAATTATATATCATAGTATATATTCCATATTCCCCAATCAGTGCTTGCACTAAAGGGGTCCTAGCGGAAGTTGAAAGATTTGGCGAATGTCCCCCGCCGATTTTGGTGGCAGGCTGGATTCCCGGATTCCCGGTTCCGGGTTCCGGGCCGATTTCGGAGGGCGGCGAGGTTTCTGGGTTTCCCGGGTTTTTGGTCGATCTTCTTATCGATCGGTCTCACCATCGATCTCATTACCGACTTTTCGATCGATCTCATCATCGATCTTACAATCGATCTCACTATCAATCTCACAAGCGATCTCACTAGAGATCGCATGAGCGATCTCGCGATCTATCTTACTATCGATCTCATTGAATCGATTTCACTCTCGGTCTCACGATCGACCTTACAATCGTCCTCACTATCGATTCCACTATCGATCTCATTATCGATCTCACAACATAGTATGAATTTTCAAATCATGCACTGACTTGGTTTTCTCAGGTGTAATGTGTATATATATATATTACAGTATATGCGGTGCCAGCCATGCTGTGCAATATATGCTGCGGGATCTATGTTGTGCAACCTTTGTGGTGCAATACATGTGGTGCAATCTGGGTGTTACAATCTATGCTGTCACATGAATATGTTGTTTTCTAGCTCCTGCAATCTATGTGGTGACATCTATGTTCTGCAAGCTATGTGGTGCAAACTATGCGGATCGGCGCTGTGTAATCTATGTGTTGCGATCTATGATGTCCAGTATTGGCAATATGGGGGGGAGATCGCACCAGGAGAGAGCCCCTCGTGCGTGCGGGCGAGGCGAAGCGTGCGTTCGTCTGTCCCGCCGTGGTGTCTCGCGGTGCACCGATGGTGTCCCAAGGTGTCTCGCTGTGGGCGCGCGAGAGACATGATCTCGCCGTCGCTAGGGCGATTCGGATGCAAAAGTCCGGCCCTCTGGTTAGCGCGCGGTGGCTGGGGGTGTTCCGCCGTGGTGTCCTGCGTTGTCCCGATGGTGTCCCGCGGTGTCCCGCCGTGGTGTCCCGCTGTGGTGTCTCGCGGAGTCCCGTAGTGTCTCGTGGTGTCCCGCGGTGTCCCAGTGGTGTCCCGCGGTGTCCCGTGGTGTCTTGCGGTGTCCCACCGTGGTGTCCCACCGTAGTGTCCCACCGTGGTGTCCCGATTGATCGTGAGATCGATAGTGAGATCAAGAACGACCGCGATGTCTTGAGATTGATAGTAGGATCAATCGTCGGATCGATAGTGAGGTCGATTGTGAGTTCGGTAGTTGCATCGATCGTGCGAGCGGCAATGATATCGATAGTGAGATCGATGGTTGCATCAATAGAGCAATCAATATTGACGTCGATTGTGCGATCGATTGTGAAATCGATAATCGGATCGATAGTGAGCTCGACAGCGAGATCGACAGTGAGACCGATAGTGTGTGAGTGA